ACCTTCGGAACTTGGCTCTATGGATGAGCAATTTCAAAATTAAAAGGAATAAATTCATAGCACACAGAATTCTCAGATTGTTATTTTCATAATAAAATCTTTAGCTTGTAATTGAATTGAGTGATTTGTTTCATGTGGAAAATCTACACTTTTCTAGAAACCTTAGAAACAGGTTTCTTCTTCACTCTCGTCGAATTCACATCTGTTATTTAAATCCATTAATATTATTATTATCATTTGGTGGGATGGATATTATGCATTATATTGCAGTGCAACCAACTTCGTACAATTTGTAGGTAAAGGAATTTTACATGGGAGAAGCCATGTGATTTCTCAGTTAATATTGGGACAATGAGAGATCCAAACACATTTCCAATGAGGTGTTCCCAGTTTTACGATGGTCTTCAAATGCGTCGTGACGCCTCCGTGACGTCACCAGGCCCGGAAGTGATGCAGGTCGTGATAATCCGTTTATGATGATGCAAAATGTCCCAGAACACAACACGAGCCAACATGGGGATGGTTTGATCTGACTCTCACCTCGTGTTTTCATACTCTCGTTAGTTGTATTATTGTGTTGTTGTTATTTCTGGGACTGGGAGCGACATGGATCCGTCCAGGAGGAGCGAGAGTGACTGGCAGGGGCTGATCAACGAGGTGAGACAGGAGCAGGGAGGATGTTCCCACTGTAACCTGCTCTGATGGTGGCAAACATGTACTGTACATGCAACAATTATACAACTAATATCATCTACCTTCGTGTTCTCTGTGAATATAAAATATGAAATCCAGATTAAATAGAGCAAACAGGATTAAATCTCAGGAATGTACACAAGGAAGTGGATTTGTCCTCCTCTTCCCTGCACCTGCAGAATCCAGAGTCTTACGCAAATCAACGTGCACCACACTGCAGGTGTTTTGACAATACATTATTTTGAATGTATTAATAATATAATCCACAGATGACTGCTGTGAAAAGTATATTTACTTAAATACTTTCTTAGACGTGTATATGTTCTGGTTTCCTTCATCTTCCATGATGAAACTGAATTTAACTGGTCAGGTATTGTACGCTTGTAGGTGTCACTGTGTGTTTTCAGAATTTTCCACTAATGAACTAACTGAGATTATCATCCTCTCTAAAAGATGGAGCTACACGTTACTTTGCAGAGCACAACTTTACAAACACATGTGATCACTAGTTGAAATATAAAACTTTGTTACAGATTGAACAATGGTAGAAATAATATTAATGATGATAGAAAACACAGTTTACCATGCATCATATATAAACACGAGAGTGAGTAGATGTTATAGTTAAAATGATTGGCCTGCTGACATGATTTATGTACTTTTACTTAGATAAATGATTAGACTACAACATGGACATCAACCTCTGTGGGTTTTGGTTCTGGGAAAGTGTATTTGTTTTTTTTCACTATTTTCCAACATTATAGGTTGAATGATAAAAATATGAGCAGATAAATGTATTATCATCAATACAGTTCACCTCAACAGATGCCACGACAAACATCACCATCATCACCAGAAGGGGATATTTTATATATATATATACAATAATACATAACATTATATATATATAATACCTAATGTTATGTTTTTTGTTTCTCTTGTTTTAGTGTGACTCAGAATCATTCACTGTTCAAGTATCGAGACCCTTAACATCTGTTCCCTTGTGCAGTTTGTAATTTGCAAGCGTAAACTGGAGAGCAAGAAGGAAGCTCTTCTGATTCTGTCGAAGGAGCTGGACACCTGTCAGCAGGAGAGGGATCAGTACAAGCTGATGGCAAACCAGCTCCGTGAGCGGCACCAGGGCCTCAAGAAGAAGTACAGAGAGCTCATCGTAAGACATCTGTGGTCTCATGGTGACAAAATGTCAATTGTCCACTATTCAATTATAAATATGTGACATTTACTGACAGTGTCTTTGTTTTTATAACTATTAGGATGGAGATCTCTCTCTGCCTCCCGAGAAAAGAAATCAAGTAAGTGATGTTCTTTATACATCGCTGTCTAATAAGTCTACAAACTGGTACTTCAACAGTATTTGTGTACCTCAGTAATGATCATTGACCCGGCTAATATTTTTTACCCTAAAACCCAATTATGGCACTTTTGACTAGTTTTTATTCAGCACTGTCTCTCTAGATATTTAATCTAACATCTGGATTAACCCTGGAGTTTTTAATCTGATGTGACATCATGTCCTCATCTTCTTCAGGAATCTGAATCTTAATCTTAATCATCTTCTTCAGGTGAATTTAGCTCAGTTACTCACAGACTCCAGAGAGAAAAGTCATCAGCTTTCTGAGGAGGTGAAGGAGCTGACACAGCGACTGGTGGAAGCTCAGGGAGATAACAAGGTTCGAGACCCTCGTTTCTACCAGAAGTTTCAAATTATCAAATTAGTTCATAATATATTTTAATGGACAGTTTGTGTGTTTCTGTTCCTGCAGCTCCTCCGAATGACCATCACCAAACAGAGGCTGGGAGACGAGGAGGTTGGAGTTCGACACTTTCCTGCACACGAGAGAGAGGATCTGGTCCAACAGTTAGAAAGAGCCAGAGAACAGGTGACGACTGAGGCTCACCGTGCTGATCTGTCTTCTGTCTTTGTTTGTTAATCGTAATAATTCAGGGGTATGATCAGTCACGTCAACTGTGTTTCCCATTATTTAGATTTCAGGAAAGACTGTCAAGCTGATCTGTTCATGTGTCCAGCTCAAAGCAAATGAGCAAACAAAGTATAAAACCTGAAAAAAAAATACGCAGAGCTCTGTACATTTGTTATTTTGTGTCGCTGCAGAACGAGGTGCTGGAGCTCAGTGTGAAGTCGCTCACTGACGAGCTGCAGGACGTTCGAGCAGAGCGAGACGTGTTTCAGCAGAAGGCTCATCGTCTTAATGTGGAAATGAACCACATTGTGGGAAATGATGAGATTCGGTTTCTTGACATTGATGCACTCTGCATGGAGAACAGGTTTGTTACGTTTCTTTCTCTTATACTTATATGATATTTGAGTATTTCTACAATATTTAACTAAGAGCGTAGCAGCGTCCACAGGTGTGTGCCAGGGTAAGGTCCCAGTGATACTTCACTGAGATTCAATTAGATTTTACACAATCATAACTTAGTGTGTGAACGGACTGGTGGTAGAATTCTTGAGGTCTAATCATTTCTGATTAATGTTTATATTAAAACATTTCTTCCAGGTATTTGCATGAACGCCTCACTCAACTTCAGAAGGAGGTCAACTTGCTCAAATCAAATCTGATGAAGTACAAGGTAGCTGCATTTTTAAAAATAATTTCTCGATTCAATAAAAACCTGTAAAGAAGAGCTGTATGGATAATTTTACCAATGTGAACAAATTGGAATTTTTTAAAGGACAAAATGTGTCTTTTTTTTCTCTATATATGGTCAATAATCAATGATTCATTGGTCTCAGAGTGCCCTGGAGTGTCGGAAAACCTCTACATTCGGTGGCAAAGCGAATAGCAGCGCTCTCACAGGAGTGCTCTCTGCCAAACAAGGTCAGAGGATCATAAGTTTTAAAACCATCATACTTCAGTTTGAACAATGTGTCACAAAAAAATGTAAACAGTTACACATGTGGTAAAGAAAATGACTCTGAGTGTGTGTGTGTGTGTGTGTGTGTGTGTGTGTGTGCAGTGAAAGAACTGTTGCTCTCTGAAGAAAACGGCTGCAGTTTGCCGGTGACCCCTCAGTCCATCTCAGACCTCAAGTCTCTGGCCACAGCTCTGCTGGAAACCATCCATGAGAAGAACATGGTCATTCAGCACCAGCGGCAAATCAATAAGTAATGATATGTTATATTGATGCTATAGAGAGACATTCTTTTTTAGGTTCTTATTTGGATATGAATGAATAACTTGAATGATGGGTGGAACTTTATTTTTCTTTCATTAGGATTCTTGGAAATCGAGTGGCGGAGCTGGAGAAGAAACTTAAAACACTAGAGATGTCAGGATTATGGAGCCTGCCAGGTGGATATAAGTATATTTATTAAGACTAATAAATGAATATACATATGTACATATTCTGTACAATAATTCCTCTGTGTTGTCATTTTCTTTGGTCTTCTGCTTCTGGCTTCCTGAAGGCCTGACTTATAATGTGTCGTTGGGAATTTATGGTGGTATGTTCTTCTGCTATCTATCTTTTAATCTCTAATATCTTCATCTTCATCATTTCTCATCTGTGTCGCATGTGATTTAATCTTCTATATCCAATTCAGCCACATTAGATATTAGAATCCAAATGACATCATGTTTGAGAAATGCCATACAGGAGTTAACTCAGTGTAATACTTTGTACTGACAGGAAAAGATGCCATCATCCTGAACCCTCAGCTGCCAGAGTCACCACAGTCTCCTGCACAGGAAGGTGAGTATACAGTGCAGCTATGTCACTTCACAACCCAGATCAAGGCTGGACAAATGAGGGAAGACCACACATAGTAATACAATTGGAAATATAGATGTAGACATTAACATTAATATAATTTATATAGTGTCAGATCAGGTGAATCATCCTGAACACCCAACTCCCATCAGGCCCTGGCAGCGAGACGCCTTCTCACACAATCTGTATCCATCTGTACTAGAACTGTATTTCCTGAATGCTATTCTTCGGTCTACACTTACAGCTGATACAGAATCTGAGAATAAACCTGCCGAGCAGCAGAGCTCCCCAGAAGTTCAAGACCAAGACAATGAAAAACCAGAAGCATCAGATTTTCAGCAAGAGGCACAGCTGCCATCCAGTGAGGAGACGTCCCCACAGAAGCCTCCACGCCAGTCGGTGGATGAAGAGCCAGCCAGCCCTCAGACAGAAAAGCCAAACAATCACACACAGATCGCTGTGGATTTAGATGCTTTAACACAAGAAGAGGAGTTACTGAGTGATTCTATTCCCTCAGTGACAGATGTGAACACGCCTCGTCAGTCAGACCACGACTCACAACTGAATTTAGACGACTCCGACCCGACAGGAGAAGGAGAGTCGGATGAAACTGAAACTGTCGAAGCTGAGTGTGATATTACTGAGGAAAACATTTACGTTGCTTCCTCCTCCGCTGCCGCTGGTGAGAAACAGCAGGACGTCACTGCGCCAAACCAGCAGACAGAGCTTTCAGATGAGACTGATGTTTGTGTCGGTCAGGAAATCTGACGGCTTCCAGGTTGCAGAGCATCAGGAGAAAATGTAACAACGGTAATTACGAAAGATGAATTTATAATATAACGATAACTAATTTATTTTTATTAATAATGGGAAACAAATGTTAATTTAGCTGCTAGGGTAAACAAACTGTCTATAGTTGTGTTGTTAGTGGCCCATGCATGAAAGATGATTGTCTACAGTCCTGATTTCACCATTATATGTTTCTTTGTTTCATCTAAAGACATTTGTAGACAAAGAAATGTGTCCACACAGTTTCACAACACTTTGATATTATATCTCTGTTAGAGTCCTAAGAATGTCACTCAAGCCTGAGAAATAAGTGATTATTTGACTTGTGCTTTCATGTATTCCAACCTTTCAACCTGATGAATTATCATACATTACCAACAGAATGTGAACAACCAAATATTACAAACAAATGTGATTCTTGAACGCCTCATTTTCAAGACTGCGGACATTAAAATGCTGCTGTAATGGCCTGAACTCTTCCAGGACAGATTTCCACAAACCCAGCTCAAGAGATTTAGCCAGAGAATTTGTGAAATTGGGCAATAATGTGGGATTTTATCCCAAAGTTTTTTTTTTAGGTCAGAACTCTGAAAGCTATTCATGTCCTAAATACAGCTTGTTTAATACCAGTTCTTTCTGGAACTCACTTTATACTCAGTGGATTTGTCATGTTGAAACAGGAAAAACAGATTTATCCAAAATGTTTGCACAAGTGTGGAAGCTGGACAAACTGTGTCAGAGGTGTGTAGTGAAGGATCTGTGAAGTAGAAAACAAGGAATGTTGCCGTTGAGGCATGACGAATTAGAATTGTCTGCTTCCGATTATAAAATTTCAGCCTTACTGTCGATCAGCTGAGCTCTTTAGACTCAGAGTCTGAATTTAATCAACACAGAGAAAGAGAATGTACTTTGTTTTAGTTTTCTGAAGAAGAACAAAAATTGTGGCTTTCAGTTTTCCACCTCGGACAATACTTAACCACTGATTTAAAAAAAAAAAAACTGCCCCATGTTAGTAACAGCTATATCAACATCCAACTGTAGAGGACAAAATGCTAACCGATTTTTTTATTTGCCTTCTTCAAACACAATACAAACATTGACTTTCTGATGTCACACACCGGAGCCAAATAGATTACCAGCACTAATGTCTCACATGTGCTTTTGAGTTTAAATAAATAATCATGAACTCAGATAATTTAAATTACATAGAGCCATGTGTGTATTGTATAAGTGTTTAATGTGAACAAATAAATCATATATTTGTGGAAAATAAATCATTTTCAACTACCACCTTTGGGAAAATAGTTTTGTATGCAATACAAATGAGATATTAAAGAATTTGATATAATGTGTTCTCTGAAAATAATGTTTTAAGGAGACACATTTTGTTTCATAATTTTACTTTCTTACTTCAAAAGGTTTACATGCTCTAGTGGTCAGGAAACGAATCACTCCCCTTATAGTGTCCATTGCCCTTATAGTGTCCATTGCTGCAGCTCCTCTGCACCTGGTTTCAGCTCCTGTTTAAGAACCCCCCCCCCTCCTGAGGAAGCCCTGTCTGCTCTGATTGGTCAGCTCGTCCACTCTATTGTGATTGGTCAACAGCTTCCGGTGTGTACAGGCCATAGACTGTATATAAAGATACAGGCAAATGTGGGGACTAAGGGTGGGACTAACCACAAGGGGTGTATTATGCAAATGTGGGAAATTGTGTCACATGACATCAAGGAAGTACCAGCCCAGTATGTAACAGTATGTGAAGCAGCCTCCTATGTCAGGTTTAATATAAGGAATCTTACTTGATGGTTTCACTATGAGAAAATTCAATCAACAAAACCTCTGAGAACCATGAATGTTTGTATCTTATTTATTTTCAATCCATTCAAATGGCTGTACCAACCAAAAAGTAATGGCATTGACATAGGAATATTGTCGTCTTTAGTACATTTGATAATCAGACACAGAATGTAACGCAAAGGCAAAATCTGTGGAATGATTTATAGTATGTAGCAAGACTTTGGCACTAATTTCCCTTCAGTTGACTGCTTTAAACTGCTCATGATACATATTCCACAGATTGGGTGGGTAAATCCCAATAACACAACAGCCAATCCTGCGACCTGAGTTTCCATGCAGCAGGCTCCCAGCATCTCCACCGAGGCCCAAGTCATCCATCTTTTCGTGCACCACCACTGCCCTTCCAATCACGGACAGCCCTCCGAACAGCGTGGCTTCGGCTTCCATTAACATGTTGATTTTTCCTCCCTGGGGTTGAAAGTTCCCAAAGTCCCCTGGGTGTTTAGGATGATGCACATCACTTGGATTGTAGTGGCCACCGGTGGCAATACATTCTTTGCTCAGGTTACCGTACTGGTGGATGTGCACGGCTCTGGACGGCTCTGGAGTGACATCTTTGGGGAAACCTTTCAGCCGGAAGATGACTTGGAGTTTTCCGTTAGGGTAATCCTGTTTAAACAGCACGTGGCCGTACACTCTGGGCACGCCGGTGGGTAGTGACGTGATGGGTCTTAGTTTGCAGGCTGCATACATGGAGCCATTGTGCAGCATGACCTCTGGTGGAGCCGAAATGTCAGCTGAGACACATTGCTGACACACTGCCAGCAGAACGAACAGAGCAGCCTCCAACAAATTATCTGACCTGAAAAATATTACGATTATTAGCACATTAAGTAAGATTAATAAACTTTTCATATTTTTTGCATGAAAGTAAGCAATTTATGTAAAAACAGCAACAAAATTGTCCAAAAGGTTAGATGTCTTGCATAACTTAATACTGACATATTGTCAGAAATATGCATACAAATATCAAAAACCCAGTTTTATAATTATATTTTATAGAATAACTCATTTCAGAATGTTATTTATATTATATTACATCATCATTATAGTTTAGTAGCATTTAACTGTTGCTGGAATTGGACTGAAAATACTTAATACTTATAGTTAGATGATTGAATCTACTATATTATCACATTTTATAAGATCATTGTATGTTTTTATATAAAATATGAATCTAAAAAAACTATAGTCGTCAGGCTGTTTTCCACCCTGACATACTTTTTTTAAAGGATCAAATGTCCCAGTGCACATCACACTTACCTCTCTACTGGCACAACTATTTAAACTGGATGCACACAACAGAATATTAACAGAACTTTATATTTCTCCATGTAAAAAAACAAGCTGAATAAACAGATGAAGTTTGCAGGCTGCTTGTACCATAAGAAAAACTAATCCTGGAAAGAAAGTTGATTAAACTGAGGCCAGAGTTCAGAGTCCACTTACCTGTGTGAAAGCATGGTCACAATATGTGTAAAGACCCTGGAAAAGCTGGAGGTGTTTGTGGTTTCTCTGCTGCTGGAGCCGTGTCTCTGTTTATACTTTGAAAATGTTTCATAAAGGTCTTGTATAAGAGTGAGGGGGCGTTACTCTGCTGAGGGAGGAGCAGAGCAGCACACCCCTCAGGATACAGATGTTTTTTTTTTCCATTATTCAGGTTTTATCAGTTTACTTGTTTCTGTATGTGCTGCAGATTCAGTTTTCTCTTCTTTTCAGTAAACATTTTTGTTATTCAATTCAATTGTATTTGTATAGCGCTCTCAAGCCACTTTACAGAAACCCAACAGTTCCCACAATGAGCAGCACTTTGGCGACTGTGGAGAGGAAAACGCCCTCATTAGGAGACGAGAGAGGGAGGAGGGGGAGAGAGAGGCGAGAGAGAAAGGGAACATTTTAGCATCAGGTATCAGCTCTGACTAATAACAATGAAAACAATAAGAGTGTAAAGAAGTTATTTATTATTATTGATAACAGTAACAATTCATATAATAATGAATTACTACTAAGTATTGTTGTTAATAATAATAATAATAATAATAATAATAATAGTTGTTCTGCAGTTGTGGAGTCAGAGATACCTACAATGAGAGAAAGAGAGAGAGGGACTAAAAAAGAAACATAGTTATTGACATGTCTTAAAATAAATAAATGAATGTGGGGCTCTCAGTGAGCACTTCTCCACTGAGAAGTGCTCAGTGGATGATGGTAGTTCCTCCAGCAGTCTCGAGCTATAGCAGCATAACTAAGGGATGGTTCAGGACTCACCTGATCCAGAACTAACTATAGGCTTTCTCAAAAAGGAACGTTTTTAGTTTAACCTTTAATGCAGAGAAGGTGTCTGCCTCCTGAACCCAGAGTGGGAGCTGGTTCCACAGGAGAGGAGCCTGGTAGCTGAATGCTCTACCTCCTGTTCTTCTCTTACAGACTCTTGGAACCACAAGAGAGCCTGTGTTTCTTCCATGATTGATGTCTTGATTTGACAGAAAAGGAAAGGAAGCAATTTGATGAAACACAACTTTACAGCAAATCAATGAGAGAACAACTGAAGCAGATGAGATCTGGAGGTCTTGATCACACCAGGGGCTGTCACATCTGACATTCTGCCTCAACGTATGCGATGAATTAAATCATGTAAACTCAGATGATGTGGAAAAAGGCCTCCAGTGAAACTCCTGGAACTATCAGAGATGGAGATGAACCCTCCAGACCAGCAGGTGGCGGTCAACGAACCCTGTAAAACCTAACGTGAACAGAAGAAAACAATATCGCTCAGGAGTGAGGAAGCTAGCAGCAACACCCATTCTCCCGGCAGAACTGTGTCGGCGTTAATTGATTTGAGTGAATAAACACTTCCTCCTGTGAAGATGTCTAAAAGACACCGGCTGGATTTGGGTGATGACTACTCGACCAGTAAGAAGAGGTCTGAGGGGTAAGAGCTGCTCCACACCGCTGTGGTGCTAACCGACTGTTAGCTGATGCTAGCAGCCTGGCTAACCGTTATTGAGAGCCCAGACAATGTAGCAGCGGTGGTTAATGTTGGAGCTGCTCTTTGCCGCTTGTTCTAAACATCGCCTCCATCTCTCTCTGTTTTATTTCTTCATCTTTAACTTGGTGATTAGTTAACATATGCATTTGCCAAGGAAGGCTCGAGCTAACGAACGTAGCATCGGCGTTCTCACTGCTGAGACACGTGTGTGCGGCTAACCTCAATTTAGCGCGGTGCTAACAACAGATGCGAACAATTATAAGTGAATTTAACCGACTGACATTATCCACACAGAAGTAAACAATTATTTGGATTGTAAAACAATACAGGTACACGCAGTTGTTATTAAAGTATGGTGTGTTGACAAAAGCATTACGCTAGCATGCTAGCTAAGGGCAGTCAGAAGACATTAAGCATAATAGCTTGTGTCTGTATTGTATTTAAAATTGATTCGTTTGCTCACATATTGTATCTTTAAGTGATTCGTCAATAATATCCCCAGTGTTCTATATGATTAAAATCTGAATTCAGAAGTTAATCTGAAGCTAATATAAGATCAACACAAATGCAAATCTACCCAAGTTACTGTCTGTTTATCATAACTGGATAGAACAGTGGATTCATTTTGTTATTGTGTCATGCTCATTATGTGCCCACAAGACACCATTATATATTGCATTTTACTTATTTGTTCTAGAAAAAGTAGAAAACAGTGAAGGAAACCCGAGTAGTAGCATCAGTAACAATGCTAATCAAATAAATCACTAAAATCATAAAGGTTTTATTTCAAGATTTAGAAACAAATATAGTCCATAGCGACTTGGCTTGGGAACCGGAGGGTGGCCGGTTCAAGTCCAGCATGGACGCAAGTTGGAGAGGTGCAAATTCACCTCCTGGGCACTGCTGAGGTGCCCTTGAGCAAGGCACCAAACCCCCTGATTGCGCCCCGGTCGCCTTCATGGCTGCCCACTGTTCCGTGTGTGGTCACTGTTCCGTGTGTGGTCACTGTGTGGACTGTGTTCCGTGTGTTCCGTGTGTGCTCTGTTCACACGGATGAGTTAAATACAGAGGTCAAATGTCCCCATGTTTGCATGTTGCATGCTGTGTGTGGGACCAAAAAGAGGAATCTTAATCTTTATAAGCATTAAAATAAAAAAATAAACATTCCATTCTCTCATCATCAATTCACCAGGAAATGTCTGGATATGGATATTCTGAATTCAGCATAATGGAGAGACAAGTCCTCAGAAACTCTCTCCTTGTTTCCATGTTCTGCAGTAGAAACGAAAAACACAAAAGATTTTATACTATTGAGTGCTGAGGCCTCGTATTACTGAACTTTACTCAAAAACAGATAGTGGACTATGCCCCCCATCACTTCCACTAGGGATTATGTCACGACATGTCCGATTAAGAGGAGTGATTACAGCAAGTAAAACTTGTGTAACTACTTCCATAGACATCACAATATATCTGTAAACATGTGAACCAGCCCTTCACTCAGATAGTTGTTTGGGCAAGAAAATATCAGGAAAAAGCAAAAAAAAAATATGGGAATCAAAAGTTTAAGACTTTTGAATAGAATTGACGATAACATCCAGAAACATATTTTTCTAAAAAGTTTAGATGTCTCTGAAATTTAATGATAACAAAGTGACTGAAAACCAAACATGATGTCTTTACATCAGCCAAAGTCCAACTAACTTTACCATTGTCAACTGCAGTGAGTGACCATTTGAGGTTCACGATTACAAGTTGTCTCTGCTTTTCATTTCACAGCATTGTTTCTCTATATACTTTCTACTATCCTTTACTGTAGGATAGTCAGAAAGTCAGGATTTCATATTGATCTCTTTACAAAGCAACATGTTTTTAAAGTTTTGCTGCGCTCGTGTCAACAGGAGAGATCGGGACCGAGACAGAGACCGGGAGGACCGCTCCAGGGACAGGGACAGAGATAGGGATCGGGACCGGGACAGAGACCGGGACAGAGACCCGAAACCCGCTAGTGCGCCAACTAACATCCCGGCAGCTGTGCCAGGCATACTACCGCTTAAGCAGATGTTGGTGCAGCAGCAGATCAATCCGTTCACCAACCTGCCGCACACACCACGTTACTATGAGATCCTGAAGAAGAGGTTGCAGCTTCCAGTGTGGGAGTACAAGGAAAGCTTCAGCGATATCATCACACGCCATCAGAGCTTTGTCCTTGTTGGAGAGACTGGCTCTGGGAAGACGACACAGGTCTGAAATCTCATCTCTCATATCTTCTGTCTTTTTTAATTGTACCTTAAACACTTCCTGTGGTTTATGTTAAAAGCTTTTGAACCTGTCTTCAATCTCCAGATCCCACAATGGTGCGTGGACATGGTGAGAGGCTTGCCTGGTCCGAAGCGAGCGGTGGCCTGTACTCAGCCCAGAAGAGTGGCTGCCATGAGTGTGGCTCAGAGGGTGGCAGATGAAATGGACGTCATGCTCGGACAGGAAGTCGGTTACTCTATTCGATTTGAGGACTGTAGCTCTGCAAAGACCATACTAAAGTAAGTGATTCAGGGCTGCTGTTTCAGAATTCTAATTACAGAGCAGCCTGTTTTTGTCTGTATCTAACAAATCATGTTCGATATTTCTTTAGGTACATGACAGACGGTATGTTGCTAAGAGAGGCTATGAATGACCCGCTGCTGGAGCGTTACGGTGTGATCATTCTGGATGAAGCCCACGAGCGAACTCTGGCCACAGACATCCTGATGGGAGTACTCAAGGAGGTGGTGCGTCAAAGACCAGACCTAAAGGTATTCTTCATTTTTAAATAAGTGATATTGTGAGAATGATTCCCTTTCTGTGTGAATGTTTTGTTTTGCAACAGGAAATGATTATGTTTTCCTATTCCTATAGGTGATCGTCATGAGTGCCACTCTCGATGCTGGGAAGTTCCAAGTTTACTTTGACAACTGCCCCCTGCTGACGATTCCTGGCCGTACACACCCCGTGGAGATCTTCTACACCCCGGAGCCTGAGCGGGATTACCTCGAGGCAGCGATCCGCACTGTCATCCAGATTCATATGTGCGAGGAAGATGAAGGTGACTGCCTGCTCTTCCTCACTGGTCAAGAGGTAAGACCGATGGTGCTAATATTACTGGTCCAGTGAGAAACCTTGTTATTAACTGCCTTGAACAGCAAAATTAAATCTTAACTTTCGTTCAGGAAATTGACGAGGCCTGCAAACGAATCAAGCGTGAGGTTGATGACCTTGGCCCTGAAGTTGGGGACATCAAAATCATTCCACTGTATTCAACGCTGCCTCCACAGCAGCAGCAAAGGATCTTTGAGCCTCCTCCTCCACGGAAGCCCAATGGCGCAATAGGAAGAAAGGTACATTTTAAATAATAAAGAAATATCGATATCAGCAGAAGATATTTTCAAACTTATTCAATTTTACCCTTTTTGAATGACTTCACATGATGCATCCATTTGCACCACTTAGAAAGAGGATATCTGACAGACTTTTCTTTTTTCTTCTTCAAAGGTCGTGGTGTCAACAAACATTGCGGAAACTTCTCTAACAATTGATGGCGTGGTGTTCGTCATTGATCCTGGATTCGCCAAACAGAAGGTGGGTAAAGAGTGACTCACCTCACTGGATTGTTGTGTGTAGTTTGCTCATCTGATTATTACTCAAGCTTATGTTCTTTGACCTTTATGAAATCTGAATAAGAAGATGGTTTGAATCATTCTGTAAAACTAAGTTTTGTTGTTCACTTGTGTCCTATCAGCCCCTTTTCATTTGGGTTACACTGTAAGAACCTGCACATCTCAGATCAGCTGTTTCACTGAAATATTCTTTTGATTATGTGTGCAGGTGTACAATCCTCGTATCAGAGTGGAGTCTTTGCTCGTCACAGCCATCAGTAAAGCTTCTGCCCAGCAGAGGGCGGGACGAGCCGGCAGAACACGTCCAGGAAAATGTTTCCGTCTCTACACAGAGAAGGCCTACAAAACAGAGATGCAGGTAAGTGACATGAACAGTCGGGAGAAAACTTTTTTTTTGGATCGTCTCTTGTAATTTATCTTCTCAGAGTTGCATTTTCAGATATTAACACAGTGATCATCTCTCTCCAGGACAACACGTACCCTGAGATTCTTCGATCCAACTTGGGCTCTGTTGTGTTGCAGCTGAAAAAGCTTGGCATTGATGACCTGGTGCACTTTGACTTCATGGATCCACCAGGTATGTCAGTCTGCATTAAAGGACAAATTAAAACATCTAAAAGTGTCTAGTTAGGCAGAACCATCTGACATTTTGTGTGTCCCCTCCCTCTAACCACAGCTCCTGAAACCCTGATGAGAGCCCTGGAACTGCTGAATTACCTCGCAGCTCTCAACGATGACGGTGACCTGACGGAACTGGGATCCATGATGGCCGAGTTTCCCCTGGATCCCCAGCTGGCTAAGATGGTCATTGCCAGCTGCGAGTTTAACTGCTCTAATGAGATCCTTTCCATTACTGCCATGCTGTCAGGTAATGCCCAGGACTGGGCTGATCTTCCTTGCCTTCCTCAGGCTCATTCTCTCTGGGATAGAAACGCTACTGTTCACTGAAATTAAGTTTCTCACATAGAATTTCGTTTGTGTGCAGCGTATTCGAAAATCAAGCAAATTAAGGCAGAACTACTACCCCCTAATAACTTTATTAAATTTAACACTAAGTTTTAGTTCATGTTTTGTTTCCTGCCTATGTGGCATCTTAAGCATTTTGGTCAACACCTTTGAATGTAAAGATATGCAGGTGTTAAAAAAGAAACCGATGCCTCCAGGCAAGTGGTCTCATATTGAAATGACTAAAATTCTGAAACAAACAAGTATAGAACAGCTGAAATATAGTTTCATCTATTTAATTTTATCTTTGAGAATACACACTGAGTCACAGACCAGTGTGAGCTTAAATTCTAGTCTAACCAAATTTAACAATGTGTTAATCTCACCTTCATCATGTGGTATCTTGGTTTGTTTGGAGAGTGAAGTGTGTAGTTTATTAAAGACTTGTGCGACATTTTGTTTACTAAAAAATAAAAACATTCAATGTTAATCACCAAAAGCCTTTTTTATCCACAATTTTAGTTATGGTTAAAATACATTTAAATCTGGACAACTTGACCTGAATGGTGAAGTGCTCCTTGAACTGAGAGCTTTTTTCAGTTTTAGGGTCGAATTTATGGCCATAATGTAAATTTTATTTACTGGTTTCATCACCAAAGCATGTGGATAGGGCAGGAACCACTTAAACGTTTTCATATTTGTCACATTTTTTCTGAATTTTCTTTTCATTCAAATGATCAAATGTGATTTTAACGGGTATCATGTGTAGCTTTAGCAAACTATCTTCTCTCTGAAAGTCTTAACCTCATTGCGTCTCAATACGAAAAAAAAGTCAGATTTCTGAATCTTGAAAAGTTAAACATTGCTGGTGTCCCTAACACTTTGTAGTTGTGTGAAAACTCTTGTTTTACAGATGTGGTTAAATGACCCCCCTCTCTACGAGCTAATAGCCAGTACAGTTGGGAATGACCATGAGAAAAGACTGCTGCCCCATTTGATAGAGCTTGTGGTCCTGCCCTGTCCCAACGCAGTGTCGAGTGCCCTAGCATCATAGGCTTTGCTCCCCTTTTCTGTGAATGTTTGACTCATCCCTATGGGCGGCTTTGTTGGGGCCCATACCAACCTTGTTTAGTCCCACAGTGTTTTGTCCGCCCCACGGAGGCTAAGAAGGCAGCTGACGAGTCCAAGATGAGGTTTGCTCACATCGACGGAGACCACTTGACGCTGCTCAACGTTTATCACGCCTTCAAACAAAGTGAGCAACAGTTTTTTTTGTCATGTCACGGCACTGAAAGGTTTGCAGTGAATATTATAAATAAGCTAAGACCCTATCTCGCCATGCTAAAGATAAAATATGTAACAGTTCTTCATTAACACCTAGACCTATGCTATATATGTTTTTCACTGGTGTACGTGCAAAACGCTTCCAACAATGTTCTCCCCCAGACAAATTCAAGCTAACAAAACATTTTTTTTGTTGCCTTTTAATTGCATCATATCCCCTTTATCCCTGGCTTTGTCCTCTGCTATAAAGTCTGGTGCAAACGATGTATGATGATGTATGATGATAGAAAAATCACTCTGCTAGCCAGTTCGTAATCCTGCTAAATAACAGACAATTAAATGCAGATACAAACGTAAGCTCCTAGGCAGAGGTAAATATGTGGGTTCCAGCTTGTAGCTTGAAACTGTTTAAAGTGAAGGTCGGGGATGGAAAATCAAAACAATTAAAAAAATGTACAACTTTTTCTTGGCTGCACTGATGCACCAAACATTTGTCTTTTAGCGAGTCTCGTTGCTTTCTGATCTCCTCTCCTCTGCAGAGTTTATACTCACCAGAGAGTTCATTTTATTTACTGTTTTGGTTTTGTGTGGTTGTAATTTTATTTATTTAGGATATTGTCTGGTAATATCTGGTGCAAAAAGTATTCTGGAGACCTGCTATAGAGACAGTGCAAAGACCTGATGCTAAACTAAATGTTTGATCCCTTGTTTTATGCTTTGTTTTTCAGACCATGAGTCGAACCAGTGGTGTTATGACAACTTCGTCAACTACCGTTCACTGATGTCTGCTGACAACGTGCGGCAGCAGCTGTCCAGGATCATGGACCGCTTCAACCTTCCCCGTCGGAGCACAGAGTTCACCAGCAGAGATTATTACATCAACATTCGCCGGGCGCTCTGCACCGGCTTCTTCATGCAGGTGAACATTCACAGGCACTAGATGACGTCAATAATACCATTTAAAAGCTTATAACACACTGTATTTGGATTAATACTGTGCTTTACTATATTGTCATTATATTACAATTGAATTTATATAGCATCTTCCATTTATGTGTTCCAGCAGGAGGAGTTTTTTTTAAACATAGAAACTATACTCTTGTGTCTGATAGATATTGTCTTTACCTATTGATGGTAAATATGGGAAGTCAAAGATTTCTTTGGGAGTGTTGGGTTAAACAAGAGCCCGACCATTTTGGGGGGGGGGGGCAGGTGCCGATACTGATATTAGTGGGAAAATGTTTTTCCCATACAATATATCTGGAGATGTGTGTGTATTCATATATTTTAAAAATAATTGGCATTGATTCCTAAGATATCTTAATCAAACCCTTATGACAAATAGTTGTAATTGAGCCTTGATATTTTACAGTTATAATAAATTGTATTACATATAGCTATAATTAAAATTAAACACAAATACAATCAAATATATAGTAATAATATTTAGTAATATGTTTTTTAAATGTAGACAAATGCACATAATTTCTTTGTTGTTTATTCTGTCAAATACAAGTTTTTTTTCTCATCCTGCAGGTGGCTCATTTGGAGCGCACAGGTCATTACCTCACAGTGAAAGACAACCAAGTCGTCCAACTGCACCCATCTACAGTCCTGGACCACAAGCCTGAGTGGGTGCTCTATAACGAATTTGTCCTCACCACCAAGAACTACATCCGCACTTGCACAGACATCAAGCCAGAATGGTATGTGTGTCGAGTTTTTCAGGTTTTATTATGAATAAAGGTTCATGAAGACAAATTGATAACTGAACTAAAATAGCACATGATATATCTGATATAATCTAACATGGTTCTGTTTCTTTTGTAACAGGCTGGTGAAGATTGCCCCGCAGTACTATGAAATGAGTAACTTCCCACAATGTGAAGCTAAACGACAGCTGGAGCGAATCGTTGCCAAACTAGAGAGTAAAGAGTACTCCCAGTACTGAAAAACAGAAGTATCCTGAAAAACGCCTGCATACTATAGTTTTAGATCATTCTGTTTCATTGTATCTTAATGTTTAAAATTTGGCGTTTTGATTTTTATATTTTGTTTGTTTTTTTTCCCCATCAAAGTTTATTCTCTAAGTGTAATGTCAGATAAAATATCAGCGGCAAGTATTGGACCTGGCTTTGAAGATTTTCAAAAGGAATATCAGAAACATGTCATTTAGATGTGGTGGACTTTCCTTTAGTGGATTGTTGAGTCATTAAAAACTGATTTGTGCTTGCTTTGTTTCTTTAATAAAGGAGCTTTGACTTAATTTCTCTGTACATATTAGTAAAACATGTTAATTGCAAAAGTTGTGTAGTTTGTAGTGCAGTTCTTTGCTTTTGTGTTGATGCTAATTTGGTCAAGAAAATAAACACTTGTTTCCTATGACCCAACACACAGGTTGATATGAGCAGCATATTATTAATGCTCATGGTATTTGTCATACATCATCTTTGTTGCCTTATGAACACGATATTTTAGGAACACCTCGCGGGAATTTCCGTATATCTGGCACAAACATTCACTTGGGTTTTTGACCAGTTGTCAGTTGATGAACTGATTTCTTTCTGATTTTCTTTTTTAACTGAGTTGTCTGAGGTCAGGGTTAAATTGTATGCGTCTGGAATAGTGTTTGCAGACTAAAACTGCACTGATTGGCAGAGGAATACAACATCAGGGTGGTGATTGTCAATTCAAAGACGTGATTTTTGTCAAAAATGTGCATGTTTATAATTCACAGATAAAGTAACTTCTCATTTTGCATAAATAGAATACAGACATTAGATTATAAGACTATAGACTAGGCTAGACGAAATTTATCATGTATAGTATTTAATAAGGTTTTTCCTACTGTGTTTCACTATATTATTATTTATCTTTTAATATACCATTTTTAAACCTTAGTTCAAAAAATAATAGGAAGAGCAAATTGAAGAAAGTCATCCAAGTTTTGTTTCTTGATTTATTAAAATAATCGATAATTTAACTTTACAGGTTACTGGGTTAAACCTGCTCTTGGACAGTCYGAGGATCTATGTGATAGAGGTTTCCCCTCTTACCTGMCCAGCCATCATTCAAATCAATCCATCTTTTTATTCAAACCTTTTTATTAAAAGATATTTTCTGGGCATTTAACTTTTACCCAGGACAGAATCAAATGTGAAAGGGAAAGAGAGAGCGAGCAGGGAAGACATTCAGCAAACAGCCGGGTTTGAACAAAACCTGCAGCCGCTGCCAGAGGACTCAAGGAAACTGCATTTTAAACAATTCACAAAGATCAGAACGTAAAATACCTTTGTTTGACTGAATAATTTCTCATGCTGGTGGGTTTCAACTACTGCTGCCTTCTATGTCCTCTATGGTCTCTGCCAGGCACTTGTTGCGTGTCTCTGCCAGTGTTCTTGCCACTATTGCCCCAAGTACAGCCGCAGAGCACAGGACGACTTGTGGCAGATCCCTCCAGACGTCATCCAGTAAGAGGATGAAAGGAGCCACAGCTACACCAACTCGAGCCATGRAGGAGTTGTAGCCCATCCCATTCTGTCTAAAAGGAACATTCATAACTGGAGTTAGATTATCAGAGTCAGGTCCAGCAATTTCAAAATGAAGATCAGCTAATTAATAACCAGAGAAAACCTTTAAAATATGAAGAATTCCAACTAGAATCTGGTCTATTTGATAGAGTGGGAGTAGGAAGCTGGAGATCAGTGTTGGGATAGCACAGTATATATGCAGTATGTTACAGATCTGAAAATGTTTTTTAACGTTCTAGAGACAAAAATGAAAAAGAAGATATATAGTTACCTCAAAACAGTGGGATAGAGCTCAGAGCTGTAGAGCACAATTGTTGAAAAGGATGCTGAAGAAAACCCTTTTCCAACGACTGCCACCACTGTTCTGAAGACGGACATATCTGAGAGAAAAGCTTCACTTTAAGGAGCTTTTAATTCCTTATATATTTCCGTACACTGTGCTATAGATGTACAGTAGATCTGTAGAAATGAAGGCTACCTTTAGGTACCATGATGTTGATTCCTAGACAGGCAGCGACCATCAGTAGAGATCCCACCTCTGTGCATCTCCTGCCTATCTTATCCAGTAAATAGTAGACRCATAGTTTGGCTGGGATCTCAATAACAGCATAGGTGAACTGAGTCAGGTAGATATTGAGCTTGAAGCCTGTGATGTTGAAGCTGATACCGTAAAGTGTAGTTGCTACACAAAACCTAGAGGTAGAGAAAATGGAAACTCATGATATCTGTAATATATAACATGAAAATATAACAGTCTGTTGATATACAGTCACAAAAAAAAACTAACCCTGTATTAGAAACAATAGATCAAATACTTTTCAAAGTAACACAACTGGGCTAAATGGTCATTTGAATACAGACCACACTATGCCAGTWCTGAGGACCAGTTTCCTCATCTTGGGTGTTCGTATCAGATCAATGTAGGAATATGTTCGATTTYTTTTCTCTGTCACCACAATCGTTGAAAGTGTCTAAAACAAACAAAGCCGTGTTATTTGTCAAACCACAATATGATTATCAGGACGATACTGAAGACATTTTCTATCAGGAAAAATGATTTTGTTATTTTYTAAACCTTAAGCCCATAATTGTTTCCTAGATCACTGTCTCTTGAATACACATATTCAATTTGCCAACCTCTGTTTTAAGTGAGTGAATCAGCTTCTCCCTTTGGTTCACTGTGGCACATCTTTTCAGATAGACCTGCGCTTGCTCCAGCTTTCCATTAGCAATGAGCCACCTGGCCGACTCTGGCATCCACCTAATGTTGAAGAAAAAGGTCTTTTAGTCATAATGTATGACACAGTAATAACTTCCATTGCATGTTTTATAAAAACATACACTTTAAATGACTGGTTCATCAGTCTGTGGGGTACAGGTGAAGGATAAAAGCTTTTGTTTTTCCAATGTTCAACTTGATATCCATACATGGGTACATGTCACTTAAACATTAACCAGTCACAGTCTCTCCGAATAATGGCTGAAAGACCTCAGTCTTAGATTCATACCTCCAGCTGACAATGGCCGCGATTAGAGGAGATGTGACGCTAACAACAAGCCAACGCCAGTCAGTCACAAAGTAGCCGATAGCTGCAAACAATATGTTTCCAAAGGTCCAAGATAAGCTGTCCACCACTCCCACCAGTTTTCTGTGCTCAACATCCACCCACTCCACGCCTGTGAAGAAAAAACACCTCATCATAGGGATCATGTCACAACCTTCAGTATTAAGACTATTTATTTTCTATATATCTGCTTTAGTCGCATCAGAAATGATTTACTGATGGCTGTTGAGACAAGGATGATGCCAGTGATGCTGAATCCCGTGAAGAACCTCAGCACAGCGAACATCACATAGGATGAAGAAAAAGCACTCGTGACAGCAAACAGCATCGCAAACACGTAGGACACCAGCAGCATGATCCTGCGGCCAAACCTGTGGAARATCACGAGGTCTCAAAATGTTGTGTTTCTGATCGGGTGGTAAAGGTTCACATTTTAGCTTTTAAGCTGAATGATACCTGTCACTCAAACCTCCAAAAGTCAGAGCTCCAAACRTCACCCCAATAAAGAAGATGGTAGCAGTCGCCTTGTTTTTACTTCTTCTGTCACATACCAGGTCCCACTTAAAACAAATAGAAGAAATGACAAGTTAAGTCTGTTCCTTGAACAAAAGTAATTCATTGTAAAGACAAAGTACATGTTTCCTTTGTGATTTGTAGTAGAGTGTAAAGTAGTCTACCTGTGAGGTAATAGTAGATTTGAAGGTGCTGTGATCGTACACCCATCCATTCTGGCATGACACTGTGGGAAGGTCGGCAACGTTGGAGGAGTTGMGCARCAGATGATACTGCGGCTCTGTGAACATCTGACAGGAGCTTGGAGTCCCATCCTCCTGGACCGGAACACCAACAATAAGTTTCTCTGCCTGCGACAAATTCCTAAAAATACCTCCGTCATCCAGCGAGCTGATGTCACAGTGGTGAGAGGGCACGGCTGCTATGAAGTTGTTCAGCATGAAGTGGCAGGGCAGCGTGAAGCGGCCGAGGAAGCTGATTGCAATGATTGTTATCTGAAATCTTCCAAATCCATTGATGTCAGTGAGGATGTTCTCAAACCTCATTGTGGCCTCTCGTGGTGTAAAATGTCTTCCTTTCAGGTCGGAAAAAGAAAACTGTCCTAGAACATAACAAAAAAACCACAGGGCAACCTTTGGAATTTGACTTTCCCAAGAGCTGCATTATTTAACTTAAGAAAGGTGAATATTTTACCTCCCTTAACTACTAAAATGTTACACGTTACACAACTGTTGCTGGTCTCTCTCTCTCTCCTCTGACCACTGCTTTTTCTTGTTTTCTCTGCAGAGTCACAAACACTTGCTTGACGTGAGAAGTGTTGGGTTTCTCTATATTATTATAGGATGTAAAGTGCCTTGAAGTAATGTATGTTGCGACAGGGTGCCATACAAATAATAATACATTTATTGTAATTGAGATGGAATTGTGGGATTGTGAAGCATTAGAGGTAATAATTAAAACAGGAATAATCTTTTATTTAATTGCATTACATCATAAAAAGAAACCATAAATCAGTGATGGGGCAGTAATGCATTTGTTTAAATGTTTAGTAAAAAGGTCAAGACTTAGTCACAGTTTGTCACTTAAGTTCAATGTTCTTTTATGGCCTCACCTTATATTTTCAAAATTGAAATTGCAAAAGCTGCTTCTACAGACATCCTTCATAGTATGTAATTTGAAACAGACTCAAATCGAAACAATAAAATTAAAAAGTTAAATGTACATTATTGTATAAGGTTTTTCCTACTGTGTTTCACTATATTATTTATCTTTTAACANCAAACAGCATCGCAAACACGTAGGACACCAGCAGCATGATCCTGCGGCCAAACCTGTGGAAGATCACGAGGTCTCAAAATGTTGTGTTTCTGATCGGGTGGTAAAGGTTCACATTTTAGCTTTTAAGCTGAATGATACCTGTCACTCAAACCTCCAAAAGTCAGAGCTCCAAACRTCACCCCAATAAAGAAGATGGTAGCAGTCGCCTTGTTTTTACTTCTTCTGTCACATACCAGGTCCCACTTAAAACAAATAGAAGAAATGACAAGTTAAGTCTGTTCCTTGAACAAAAGTAATTCATTGTAAAGACAAAGTACATGTTTCCTTTGTGATTTGTAGTAGAGTGTAAAGTAGTCTACCTGTGAGGTAATAGTAGATTTGAAGGTGCTGTGATCGTACACCCATCCATTCTGGCATGACACTGTGGGAAGGTCGGCAACGTTGGAGGAGTTGMGCARCAGATGATACTGCGGCTCTGTGAACATCTGACAGGAGCTTGGAGTCCCATCCTCCTGGACCGGAACACCAACAATAAGTTTCTCTGCCTGCGACAAATTCCTAAAAATACCTCCGTCATCCAGCGAGCTGATGTCACAGTGGTGAGAGGGCACGGCTGCTATGAAGTTGTTCAGCATGAAGTGGCAGGGCAGCGTGAAGCGGCCGAGGAAGCTGATTGCAATGATTGTTATCTGAAATCTTCCAAATCCATTGATGTCAGTGAGGATGTTCTCAAACCTCATTGTGGCCTCTCGTGGTGTAAAATGTCTTCCTTTCAGGTCGGAAAAAGAAAACTGTCCTAGAACATAACAAAAAAACCACAGGGCAACCTTTGGCATTTGACTTTCCCAAGAGCTGCATTATTTAACTTAAGAAAGGTGAATACTTGACTTTAAATAATTTCAGTCTGTTACACAACTGTTCCTTGTCTCTCTCTCTCCTCTCCCTCCCATATCTCTTCTCTTACCGGTTGAGGTAGATGGCCGCCCACTTTCTGCTTTTTCTTGTTTTCTCTGCAGAGTCACAAACACTTGCTTGACGTGAGAAGTGTTGGGTTTCTCTATATTATTATAGTATGTAAAGTGCCTTGAAATAATGTATGTTGCGACTGGGTACCATACAAATAATAATACATTTATTGTAATTGAGATGGAATTGTGGGATTGTGAAGCATTAGAGGTAATAATTAAAACAGGAATAATCTTTTATTTAATTGCATTACATCATAAAAAGAAAACATAAATCAGTGATAGGGGCAGTAATGCATTTGTTTAAATGTTTAGTAAAAAGGTCAAGACTTAGTCACAGTTTGTCACTTAAGTTCAATGTTCTTTTATGGCCTCGCCTTATTTTTCAAAATTGAAACTGCAAAAGCTGCTTCTACAGACATCCTTCATAGTATGTAATTTGAAACAGACTCAAATCGAAACAATGAAATAAAAAAGTTAAATGTAACAATGCATAATATTTGGCTGTGCATACTTGGTAGGTTGAGACTAAATTTAAAAGACAGCAAACATTTGCCTGGTGGCAACAAACAAAAATGACTCATTGAACTGTTACATCAGGCAACTGTTTGCTAACAAACTCATTTGTCAGTGTTTTTACAACTTGTTTCCACGTCTCGTGTTCATACTGGTCTTTCAGTTGAAATGAAGAAAACCTTTAATGTAGTGATTACTCATTGGACGTGGAGATTGAGCGCCTTCTGAAACACACACACAAACATTTTTTTCATTTTACTTTCATCGCTCACTGTGAATGACTGGATGCAAAGTGAGAATAAAATTGGGACCAGTACCTCATCTGCTCCACATCCTCAACAGTCTCTGGTAGACTGATGTTTTTTGTCTCAGGAAGAAACAAAGCTGAAAAACCTGCAGTGAAAGCCACCAGGAAGAAAACAGTACTTGGGAGAGGGAGCCACACTTCTTCCAGAAGCAAGATCATCGGGGACACAGACACGCCCAAACGTGCCATGAAGGAGCTGTAGCCCAATCCATTTTGTCTGTGCAACAGAAGAAAGCATCATGTCTGACCACAGAAGAAGAATATCTGATTCACAATTCAACTGCAACTGCTTTAAACACAGATTATTACGATGACATGATTCTGGATGTCAAGCATTGTTTTTTCTTCAAATATCTCAGTCAACGTGCCTCTTAGAAAAGGCCTCTGGACAATTATGTTTGCACGTGTGAAATATAAGCTCTATAGTGACCTGAGGACTGTGGGGTACAGCTCTGTTGTGTACAGAAATGCAGTCGTAAAAGCTGCCTCTGCAAACATCTTGCCCAAAGCTCCTACAACTGTCCGATACAGCCCCATCGCTGAAAAGAAAAAGTTATCAAAAGTAATTTTAAGTCATCTTTCTATAACATTTAAAACCAACATGCGCAGAATTTGAAAAAACTGGCATCTCCCAGCATGAAGTAATTTCCGGTTTTAAGTGTCATCTGTTTTTGTTGCAGTAGTAAAAGAAGAGGCACCATAACGTTGGTCTCTCAGTAAAGAGACTCACCAGAATGGATCATTTACCTTGAGGTATAAACATATTGCAGAAATCGTACACCCATCCATTCTTGCATGACACTGTGGGAAGGTCGGYAACGTTGGAGGAGTTGAGCAGAAGATGATACTGAAGCTCTGTGAACATCTGACAGGAGCTCGGAGTCCCATCCTCCTGCACTGGAACACCAACAACAAGCTTCTCTGTCTGGGACAAATTCCCAAAGATCCCTCCGTCATCCAGTGAGCTGATGTCGCAGCGGTGTGAAGGCACGACCGTGATGAAGTTGTTCAGCAGAAAGTGAAAAGGCAAAGTCACACGTGGAATCACCATCATGAGGATCATCCATATCTGGAATTTCCCGAAGCCGTCTACCTCTGCCAGCACATTCTCAAACTTCATTTTTAAAATAAGTGACACAACGCAGCTCTGAAAATAATAGAAAGTTTCACAAAGCAGAGAAGTTTGAAAGTGAGACATTGGCCTTTTGCGTACTGGTACTTGTTGCTAGTTAATGGTCACCTATGTTAGTGTGCTGTGTGTAAAAATAGTAAGTAAAATATTTTTCTAAATAAATAATTTGCTAAGGCCTGTAGATACTATATGCATCCATAAGAAGAAAATTGTTGTCACACTTCGGACCAAATTGATGAATCAGTAATATAATGTCATTTCAGTCAGACAACTCACGTTCAAGTGTTTATTCCAACAGTACAACATATTGTGCATAACAGGCATCCATCCATCCAACACCAACCATTCATAATCTTTACCTGCTTCTTCTGTATACATCACCAGTATGTTGATACAAGTCCCAAACAGCAAAATTAGAACCTCTATTCCTGTATATACTTTCAACTTCAAAACTTCCCTTCCACAGCGTGTGGTCAGAATGAACTGAACTTAGTTTTTCACATAGAAGTATTGAACTTTGAATGCTTGCTTTTTACATTACTTGGTCATTTATGAGGACTTCTGTATGTTCTGTATTTATGTTGCAATGCAATGCACTGTTCAAAACATGTGTCCTCATCCTTGGTGTTCAAACTCTGGGCTCCTAAATAAGGTCTGTACATTCAATGTTAAATCCTTAATTTCTGCAAATCCCAACCATTAAATATTTAAATTCAATTGTGGAGGGGGCTCCCACGCACACACACACACACACACACACACACGAGAAAACCCACATTGGTAACCATCAAGTGTTACACAAAATAAAACACAATAAAACCAATAACTGATTTGTACAAGTACATTTACAGTTACACTTTTGTTTATTTTATTTTATTTTATTGCTTTACTTTCACAGTACAGCACATCATGTACACATGTTGGTCATGTTGACTCTTGACAAACTGTTGGTTTAAGTCTTTATTGAGCTCTTCCACAATGTCACTGTGTCAATATTATTCAACTCATCCTCAGTAGTTCCAATTTAGTACATTTCCATTTTGTATTGTATAACAACATGAAATGTTTTATTGAATCTCCTTCCTCGTTGTTGAGTGTACCCTACAATACAGGTAAAACAAAAGTTAGTCATTTTATCATGCCTGGGTTACAGAGCTGACACCAGCAAATTATTAAATCACATAAATGATTCCAGAAGATGTTATGTAAATGCAAAACTATGCATGTTAAACTTTAAATAGGGTATGGAGTTATTCTTTAGCAGTGAAGCTCATTGATCTAGGTAATTCTTTACTATAGCTTTAATATTGAAGTATATGTGATTTTCCTTTAAAATCCTCCTTACCTGGGTTTCTCAATGTCTTCAATGAACTCCGGCAGTCGGGCGTTTAATGTTTCAGGCAGGAGTGAAGCCACTAAACCAGACCCAACTGCCACTGCCGAGTAAGCAGCCGGTGGGAGGAGATGCCACACGTCCTCCAAAAGCATGATAAGCGGGGAAATGGACACGCCGAGCCGTGCCAAAAACGAGGTGTAGCCTAAACCATTCTGCCTGAAAGATCAAAGTCCTGTGGTTAAATGAAATCTTGTATGTGTGCAGCAAACAAAACAGAAGATCATTGTCTGTGGTCAAAGGAAGTAAATGAGTCTGTTGTTGACTGACCGTACGACTGTAGGATAGAGTTCAGTTGTGTAGAGGAAAATGATTGTGAACGAGGCCTCTGACAGGGCTTTTCCAAGGACGGCTATCACAGTTCGAGTGACCCATTTATCTGACAGAAAATGTTTAGAAATATCATGAATATTGATGAAAAATGAGAATTCACTGAAATTACATGATTGATTAGAAAACAAAACTGACCTTTTGCAACAAACATGTTGATGAAGAGACAAACTCCGGTCAACAGCAAAGTCCCCACCTCGCCAGGTCTTCTACCAATTTTCTCCAAGAAGAAATACACACCAATCTTCATCGGCATTTCAATGGATGCAAATATTAACTGCGTGAGATATGGGTTTAGTCCAAAGCCAGTGATATTTAGAGTTATCCCATAGTATGTGAATGCAACTCCAAACCTAAAAAACAAAACAAACAAAAACGTGGCTGATTACAGAGAGCAGTGAGTTTAGCCTTGCTATAACAATGCATTGTCAGTTATTGTTGCAACGTAGAGGAATGATAATTACTATTAAAATGTCTTGAGAATGTAATGTTACTGTGAGTACTTTAAGTATCCTCCATCATCTTTTCATTTTATATCATATTGTGTTATATTATTATTATTTTGTATTTTAGAAATATCAATCACTGGTGTGGACTATAAAGTGTTCATGTTGTCATGTCACACATATGTCAAATCAATTAGTTATTTCAATATATGAAAAAGCTTTACCTGAATAGAAAGGAAATTGTGCTTTTTAAAATACATTGTCCCAACTTACAAACAAATATTACATTACTTAGGTCACATGCAAAGGCTAATCTATACTTACTTCAGAAGAATAGTTTTCTATTTGGGAAATATGTTTATTTAACACTTTTCATGTCTAAGCACTAAAAGTGGAGCAAGAAAGCTATTAGCTAATCCGATTCATTCCAAAGTCAAAAAATGCTCCAACTCGCAAACAGTCAAAGGTCACAGGTCAATAAACGGAAAGAACAGGGTGACTTAAGGACGAGTTGAGATGACACAGGTCAGCTTAGTTTTAAACTTTGAGCAGATCCAGTGTAATTGGTTGTTGTCCACATTCCAGTCTCAAGGCCACACCAACGTAATCCTCTCCCAGTTACTAACATACTTATCAAATGTGAGACATTAGCAGAGGTATTTCCTGAGCTTT